ATATATGTATGTATCTCATTCTTATTCACAGGTCACATGAAAACAGTCTACTGGCTAGATTTGGCCCATGGGCCCTAGTCTGCTGCTGACCTCTGCTATATGTGACCACTGCCAGAGAAATGCAGTGAGCAGGGAGACACATATATACTCAAAGGAGGAGTTTTAAGTAAGTCTACTCATTCAGAAACCTGGGCTAATGGAGCAGCCGCTTCTTGAATGTTTCTTGTCATGATGCAGACAAAAAGATGATGCACACAAGCAATTAAATGCCCAGGTGTAGAAGTGGCACCTGAAACTTTCGTTCACAAGCTGGCCAAAGTTAGTCTCTCAGTGGACCCAACCAGGTAGTGCAAGCCTGCCATGTGTCACGAAGTAGGGAGAATTTGAATTACTTGGTAAAAATGGTGAGTACACTCAGCTCACAGACAAACATTCTAGAAAGCCTTTCCTGTTACCCTTATTCTTCTCTTTTAATCTTGTGTGTATACATGTGAGTGCAAGTACTCTACCACTAAGTGACACCTCCAGCCCCATTCCTATACAACTATAATCATAGCATCTTAAGCATCTCTAGATTATAGTGCCATACTCAGGGCACTACAATTGCCTACGAATCTGCCTCCCTAAGTGTGTATATGCTCACTAGCTGCCTCAGGTAAGTCTATATGCTAACTTGCATAGCACCTACCTCCCCCAGATGTTCAGTGTGTGTTGCTTCAACAAAGAAACAAATGGTAGATTGTGGAAGCCAGTAAGATTGCCTGCATATTTACTAACAGCTTCTGGAAGCTACAGTGTTAATCTCTCCAATCCCTGTTAGTTCAAGCACATCAATCTCTATTCATGGTTGACTTATTCTTTTAGTTATTGTTTATTTTCTATATCAAATAAATTCCTCCTTATAACCCTCTTTGTCTAATAATCAACCCTTACTTCAAGAACTGGCTCCTGAAGCTATGGAACATTGTATATTATGTGGTTTGGTTTTGCTTCCAGTATACTGGCCAGAAGGCAAGCTTAGAGAAGACCGATGACTTTATCCATGTTGCACAGCCAATCATACACTGAGTCAAAGTTGTGCTTCTTTTTGATTGAACAAAAAAGCTTCAGGATTGAAACACAGAGCTGCAGCTTAGTTTGCCAACAGTTTATTTATGCTAGAAAGCATAATACATATTTGTCAGATAAGTCGTATTGTGTCGTATCAGTATTTAGCTTGTAGTGTACTTTTCTCAGAGTAAAATGTTAAAAAAACAAGCCACATGACTGCTTACTAACGTCGTGCCCTTTCATATTGATTCCACCCATGCCCTCACGCCTCTTTTGTCTTCTGTAAAGTGATAACAGCTTTTCAGAACCCAAGAACACCTGCAACTAAGGTTTGACCTTCCCACCTCAATACCTGGAAAGTGAAACACACCAACATGCATTTGTACTACTACACAGCACAGAGTTCTCTTGTTTCACAAGTAACATGTGTGTGGCCGCAGCAGTTTATGTCAACCATATAACCACAGGGTGCATCTCCTGGGTAAAGTCAGTTCTTAAATAAACCTCATCTCTGAAAAATGCCCAGGAGAACCGGGGCAAGGAGAATACAGCTGGGTGGTACTTTCTCCATCTCAGAACACCAATAGAGTAAAGCCAGGACCCAGTATTACTGAAACCTGCTAAGGCTGAGCCAATCAAGATCAAAACAACTTTTAAAAATATATTTATAAATGACTTTAAAAGGTGAAATAGTTCGGTATACCCTGCTTCTCTTGTTAGCTGTTTAACAGACCACAGTAGACAATGCACTTCAGCAGAGGAAAGCGTGCAAGAAAACCCAAGTACACAAAAACCCAATTATATGCTCAGGCACTGTCAGACACAAAACAAAAAACACTCATTTCTAGCAGTGTTGCCTTTGCTTCCTTTTTTTTTTCTCTAACCCTTGCGATTGAATATAACAAAGTGTATCAGGAAGAATAAATCTAAGGGCCCCCCTCTCCCAAACCAGAAAAGGTTAAGCTTTTAATTACAGCCCTCAAACTATCATTTTGTGCAATTAGCAATTATCTATAATCGGTGATGAGAGAATGCAGAACTGTGCTAGCAATTTGCCTCCTCCTCATCGCAGACTGGGTTTTTCTATTACAGAGGAGAAGCCACAGCCGCGCGCACTCCCTCACTTAGACACATTTACATTTTAGCAAAACGGCATCTCAGCCTGCGACTGAGATAGGCAGGCACCCCGAACCCAACACCAAAGGGTCAGATTCCCTGCTTTTCACTTTCCGGTTGGAGAGAGGCCCGAGGAAGATGCTACCTACCAGCCTCTCTTAGGGGTGCAGGAGAGGGTGAGACAAAGACGTGCGCTGTCCCTGGAAGCTGCACCCCACGCCGGCCAGCTGCGAGCCCCGAGAATGGGGAGGCGAGGACCCTCGCAGCAATAGTTGCATCAACGCTAACTGCTCCCGCCGCGTTCACTGTGGGCGGCTGCCGGGAGGGTACACTAAAGACTGTAGCGAGCGCACAGCTGCTGGGGCGGCAGGTTCTCTGGATCAGGAAATTAGGACAGGCACCGGGGATTGGAGGCGAGGACGGCGCGTGAGCCAACCAGCGGCCGCCCCGGGCCCCGTGAGCCCCGGGCAGACGCGCGGAGCAGCCCGGCCCCTGGAGCAGTCCGGATGGCGGCAGCGGCCACGACTCACGCACGGACGCTCACACTTGCACACACACTCGCACACCCCCGGCGCGGGCACCCGGCTGCCCGGCGCTCGTGAGGGAGCGCGCCCCGGAGGAAGGCCGAGGCCGCCGCGCCCCCCTCTGACCACTCCCCCTCCGGCCCCCGCCCGGCCGCTCACCCAGCGCTCCGCGCTCCGCCGCCGCCCGTCTGGGTGCTCTGCGGCCGGCTCTGCTCTTCTCCTCTCGGCTCCCCACCCCTCCCCCCTTCTCCCATACCCTCCCCTCCCCTCCCCTCCCCTCCTCTCCTCTCCTCTGCAGCGCCTGCCTTATTTTCTGCCCGCGGGCTCGGCTTGCACCGCCGCTGCAGCCCAGGGAGGTGGGGGGGGGGGGCTGGCTGGTGGGGAGGAGATTCTGTAAGTTGCAGGGGAGGGGGTGCCCTCTTCTTCCCTGCTCCCATTCCCCTTCTAACTCCTTCCCCCTCCCCGCCCCTCCCCCTCCCCGCCCCCACCTCCTTCCTCCTTTCCGAAGGGCTGGTAACTTGTGTGCGGAGCGTGCGGCGGCGGCACCATCCAGGCGGGCACCATGGGCACGTCCGCGCGCTGGGCGCTCTGGCTGCTGCTCGCGCTGAGCTGGGAGCCCCGGGAGAGCAGCGCCACGGGGACGGGTGAGTGAGGACGCGCCCCTCCGCGGACGGCCTGAGGCCACCGGGGCGCGGGGGCGCCTGTCGGGCGGCCCGGGGCCCGGGTCTCCTCCCGTCCACCCCTCCGAGGAGGCGCCTCCGCGCTCCTCGCCTTCTTTCCCTCCCCACCCTGGTGGCGCCCATGAGCTGTCAGCGCAGCGGCCACGGGAACCGGGGCTGGGGGATCGCGGGGTTTGGGGTGCTTCGAAGCCTCCGCCAGAACTAGTCTTCGTTCCCTTGGACCCCCTCCCCCGGAGCCGCTCTTTGGCCGCGTTTCTCCTGCCCTTGACAGGGGCCGGGGAATGTGGGCTTCGGAGCCCCTGAACAATGGTGCTGCCTGCGCCGCCAGGCGGGGTGTTAGCGAGGAGGCTGCTAGCCGGGCCTGGCCGGGAGGTGCGCGGACTTCGGCGGGGTGAAGGTGGGCGGCTCCGAGGGCGCCGGGTCCTGGTGCACGTTCGGTGGGCGGCAGCCGGGAGGCTCCGCGGAGCAAAAGTGCGCAGCCTGAGCACCCCGGACTGCGACTCCCCAGGCGCCGGGTCATTTGTTGGCGTGCAGTTGGAGAAGTGTGGCTTTAAACAGGACTCTCCCCGACGTGCTTCTCCCCTCCCCACCCCCGGCGGCGTCTGGAAACCTCTCGGGTCGTCCCCGTCGCCGAACGGGGGAGGGGAGCGCGACACTGACTTAATCAGGTTAGTTTGCTGAGCCCGGGTCCGGGGACGCTTCCTCGGGAGGAATCGAATCCTCCTCGTTTATGACTGTAATTGGCCTTCATTCTAAACAATAGATCAAAGGAGCCGCACTCGAGCTGGTGTGTGGCGGTGACCGGTCCGCAAGGGCGAGGTGAGGACCGCGACCGCCGAGTCCAAGTGCCGCGGGGTCTGGAGCCCCGGCCCGTCTGCAGCCGCGGTCCCACTCAGGCCGAACAACTTTCCTGGGCAGGCGACGGGAAGCCCTGGAAGAGGGGCTGCTCAGAGACTTGGCGGACCCCTGAAGCTATCTTACGAGGCGACCCCAAGGGGCTTGCGGGAGGGTGTTAGGAAATTGGGACAGAAGGGTCCCCAGCCCTAATATGCAATCCGGAGTCCCCACCTCCTGTCGCTTGGTGGCTGAGAGGGCCCTGCTGCCTTCAGTCACGTGTCGCCTGAAGTGAGAGCGAACTTTCCAGTGTGGTCTGGTAGCCTGTGGTCAGGCAGTACTTGGGGTTGTTAAGTCTCGGAATGCCCTCTGCCCCTTGGTTCTTGGTTCCACCGTCCTGGGGGTGCGAAGCGGGGATGGGCTTCTGTGCCCTCTGCGATTGGTCGGCTGCCCGATCCCATTTGGCGAGGTCACGTGGCTCCGCGGACTTTTAGTAACAGAGTAGCAGCTGGAGAAGGGTTATCTTTGAGGGAAAGTGAAAGGCCCGGCAGGCTCTGGCTGTCACTTCCCTCTGATACTTTCTCCTGCCTGGACTATTTGAGAAAGGAGAGTGTGTAGAGAAAATGGAATGTGGTGTGTAAAGACCTAAGAACCTAGAAAAGTCCTGCTTACAAGAATTTTTAGGCGCTAATATTAATCATTCCTGGAGATAAAGAATACTAACTTACTAAATAGTCTCTCAGGATATTGCCACGACTTGCATTACATTTTTTTTGCAACATTTCTAAGCATTAAGATGTACCTTAACTGTTGTCAACTATCCAGGGAGGTGACCCCCCCCCCCAAAACCCATTTTTGCTTCATGTTTTTGAAATTTAAAAAGTCATAGCTTTCCATTCGAGATTAACATTTCCCTATAGAATGAGAGGAATGGACCTAAACTGTGGAAATGAGTTAGTCAAAGTCATATGTTTCCCTTGTCATTCATTGGTAGGTGAGGATCCCTTTTTTTACTCACCTTGTGACATGTGAAAGAGGTGGCCTGCCATGAACAGTGGAAGAGAGAAGCCCACACAAACCTGAATTTGTCAAAGGAAGGGGAGTGATTCCCTTCTGAACTGGAGCACATTTGGAGTTGGCTGAGGCAGGTATTGACCCTAAACCAACCCAGACTGGCTCCTGTCTTAAGCTCCAAGTCCTAAGACATGTGGGGTGAATCTCTGGCTTTGGTTTTCCCTGCCTACCCTTCTCTCCAGCCCTCCCCTCCCCCAACAACACTCGCAGCCCTGGTCCGAAATACTGTAGATAGGACAGGTGTGCACAAAGACTTTCTCGAGAAACTTAGTAAGGCTAATAAGAGAAGTTACAGTATCTGACAGCAAATTCCCTAGGGGCTCTAGGACATTTTTCTCCAACCTAGTTACAGATTAAGATCTGGAGTACCATAGTGGTACTGTTTAAGGTCAAAGTGTAGAAAAACCAAGTTTTGTGCGAGCTACTCATATAGCTAGCAACCAGCCAAAGAATACAAATAAACTTCCCTTTTTGTGGGGAGTGGGTTGATGTAACAGGAAATACTAACAGATCGAAAGGTAGGACACTGAAAGGCTAAAAGAAAAGACACCTGGTTTATCCAGGTAAAGCCAAGGGAATATGATGATAGCAGTAATCCTTAAATCTGTAAGCCCAAGAATGAGCATAAGGCGAGCCTTCTAAGCTCCTTTAAAAAGGGTCAGCAGCCAAACTGCCATGTGTAGCAACATTTTCTCAGCAGCTATACTCCCAGAATCTCCTTCTTGCCCACTTCTTGTAGCGCTTACCCCTGGTGCTTGTCCTGTGTCATTTGATTCTTTGCTTTCATTCCTCAAGCCTACCTAAAGCAGGTATAGAGGCCAACTTCAGTAGAGCTATCAAATATTGAGAATCTAGTATAAAAAACTGCATAGTTTAACATTAAGCACCGCTAACAGAAGTGGCAGCCTCCAAATGCAGAAAAAAACAAATGCAGAACTGATCAATAAGTGTTTCTGCTTCTTATAAAATTGAATAACAATGTACTTGACTTCACTTAAGTAGTTTTCTAACAGTTCTGGAAGAGGTGAAATGTAGTTACAAGCTCCTTCTGTTCTAGGAGGGGTACAAACTAAGACAAAACTGAGGCCATGCTATATATACTATTCTCCCAGCACCTAGCATGTATTCTTTTGCTTAATTGTTAATTGAAAGCCTTAAAATAACTAGCAGCCCCAAGTATAGCATGCAATATATAGCGTGGCCATAAAAGCAAGGGAACAGATAGTATGTGGCTATATGGTTTCAAGTTTTGATCCCAAAACAGTAAGGCTTGACACATAGCACAGAAATATCAATAATTTTATAGTAAATATCTAGACTATTTTCTGTTTCTCATGGATTGCAAATAACATCATTCCCTGTATAGGGAATAGTGATCAAGATAAGGCTGTTACCTACCTACTTCACATTATCACTGATTTCACTTTGTAGACTGACTTTCCACTGGAAAGCCATCTCCACCTGCTAGCCCATAAGAAATTACATGACTTTCAGGATTATGATAAAGTCTATAATGATGTTTATCAGATATACCTGCCTCATGAGAGCATCTCATGGTGGGGTAAGTCAGTGGGTTAGTTCAGAGACTCAAAACTGCTTGGTTTACTTCCTTCTAGTTTGAATTAATCTCAAAAGTGCATAGGTACAGTGTGTCAGACTACTTTCAGGACAAACAGTCCAAAAATCCTTTTGAGGTTATGGGTGAGATGTACTTGTTGAATAGAAAAGTAAGTGGCTCAGGGATGAAATTTCTCCCAACCATAAAGGGGGAGAATCTAAAGAATGATAACTTATCTGAGGACTTAGGAGAAGAGTATTTCTAGGAAAATCTGATTTTGTAGCAGAAAACTATCTCAATTGTAGTCTCCATGTTTGTTAATGTGTATCAGCCTCTCTTTCTTAAACTGTGCTGTTGGCTTACAGTAAAAATTCTAGCCAGGAGTATCAGCACACTCCTATAATCCCAGTTGCTCAGGAGGTGAAGCAGGAAGATCCCAAGAGTTCAAGGCCAGTCTGGGCAACGTAGTGAGACCTTGTCTCAAAATAAAAAAGGCTAGGGATATAGCTCAGTGGTAGATCACTTACCTAGCATTTGTGAGGCCCTGGGTTCAGTCCCCAGTACCACAAACAAAACAAGACCCAAATCTCTAAACACTGTTAATACAAATGAGTTAGACACATTTAACTGCTCTATAGGAGCTAAATACAATGATGGCAAATGATACCTTAAACTTAGCCCATGAAGTCCCCTAGGAGAACTTGGGCCTGCTGGTTATTTTAAGACTTTCAGTTAACAGTTAACCAAGAGAGTACCTGCTGGGTGTTCTGAGGATAGGCATGGAGATCTGCTAGAAATGTCTTAGATCCTTTGCCTGCTTTGGGTCTTAGAGATGCTATATGAGGGGTCTGGCCCTGTAATTAGGAGATAACTTTAGGGGAAGAAGCCTTAAACTGGCCAGAGTGGCTGGTCTTGGCGACCAGTGTGGCACATCTGGGTTGGCCCTGGTGGCTAGTAGTCTTTATATGAATAGACACAGTGTTGGTGATGGGGTAGAGGGTGGAGGGATATGCAATTTGCCAAACAAGGAAGATGATAAAGTCTGGTGACAGACAACATTTGCAAATGACTTTGTGTTGTAATGTAATATTTCTTCCAAATATTATGAGTAAATATGGTTCCTATTTTATAGACTGCCTGCACTAGTACTAACTACGTCCTAGGTTCTAAGTTATTAACTGCTCTGTAGGTTTACTAAGTCCATTATAAATTGAAGCCAGTTTCCTTCATACATCTCCTTAAAACAACTTGATGTCCATCTACTGAGCACCTATCACACACCATATGGCACCAGGCAGAAGCATATGGCACTAACTATGTGACCACACAGTCGCTTTGTGGCGTTTCTTCTAGAGAGGAGGTCAAACTGGGAAATCAGTGATCCAAAGACAGCCTGAGATAGAAGCTGAATTGGAGTAGCTCCAGTGTTGGACTTTATCATGAAAGCAGATAGCACATGAAGATTGCTGGAGCTTCCACGTTCTGTTTAGGTGACAGC